CCTTCCTTCCTTCCTTCCTTCCTTCCTTCCTTCCTTCCTTCCTTCCTCCTTCCCCCTCCTTCCTTCCTTTCTGCCTGCCTCCCTCCCTCCCTTCCTACTTTCCTTCCTTCCATCCTCCTCCTTTCTTTCTTCCTCCCTCTGCCCCTCCATCCTGTCCCCCCTCATCCCTTCTTCCTTCCTTCCTACTTTCCTTCCTTCTTCCCCCTCCCCTTCCTCCCTCCCTCCCTCCTTCTCTTCCTCCCTCCCTCCATTCCTTTCTTTCTACTTTCCTTCCTTCCGTCCTCCCTCTGTCCCTCCGTCCCATCCCCCCTCTCCTGTTCTTCCATCCTTCCTTCCTTCCTACTTTCCTCCCTCCCTCCCTCCCTCCCTCCATCTTTCCCCGCTGGGGAATTCTGGGAGTTGAAGTCCACATATCTTAGAGTTATGAAGATTGGGCATGTTTGCAACTAGTGCCTTTGCCACCTGAACCTCTTGCCCTGTTCCTGCCATGAAACAACCGCTCGGCTCCTCCTGGTGGGACCCAGCCCAGATGAGCCACGGAAGACTTGAGTAAGAGTCCGGGAGGCACCAGTGACATAATATGACCGTATGCGTTGGGCCAGGGGAAGAGTGGAGTAACCCTTGTTGACGGCATCAGGTGTTACAACGAAACCTGGGAGAAAAGGGCCCCGCCTTGCTCTATGCCAGGGAGACAATCACGCCCCGCAGAAACTCTGTTTACTATCCTCGGCCATGCAAGATTAATTTCCCACGTTGCATCACCGCAATGCGTCTGGCCACCAGCGTGTTTATTTCTTCGCAGGGCAGGTAAAGCTTTTGTTTCCTTAATTAGCAAACATCAGGCTGGTTTTACTGCTTCATAAGTATGAGGAATAAAATAGGTAGGAAGCTTCAAATATCTCTGGAAAACTCCACCCCACGTTCATTCCAAGGGGCCTTGTGAAATCTCTTTAGGATTATGGCAGACTATCTATCTATCTATCTATCTATCTATCTATCTATCTATCTATCTATATCTATCTATCTATCTATCTATCTATCTATCTATCTATCTATCTATCTAACATCTATCTATCTATCTATCTATCTATCTATCTATCTATCCATCCATCCATCCATCCATCCATCCATCTATCTATCTATCTATCTATCTATCTATCTATCTATCTATCTATCTATCTATCTACCTACCTATCTATTATCTATCTATCATCTATCATCTATCTATATACCTATCTACCTATCTACCTATCTATCATCTATCTATCTATCTATCTATCTATCTATCTATCTATCTATCATCTATCTGTCTGTCTGTCTGTCTGTCTGTCTGTCTGTCTGTCTGTCTGTCTATATCTATCTGTCTATATCTATCTATCCATCCATCCATCCATCCATCCATCCATCTATCTATCTATCTATCTATCTATCTATCTATCTATCTATCCAACTATCTATTTATCTATCTATCCATCCATCCATCCATCCACCTACCTACCTATCATTATCTATCTATCTATCTATCTATCATCTATCTATCTATTGTTGTCTGTCTGTCTGTCTGTCTGTCTGTCTGTCTGTCTGTCTATCTATCATCTATCTATTTCATTATCTATCTATATCTTCTATCTCTTCTATCAATTATCTCTATCATCTATCTACCTATCTACCTACCTATCTGCCACATGTTTTTATCTGTCTGTCTGTCTGTCTGTCTATCATCTATCTGTCTATCTGTAATCCATCTACCTACCTATCTGCCTGCCTATTTATATCCTGCCTTTAATTTTTTTAAAATAAATAAGTGAAGATAATGAATAGACACACTCCTTCCTTCTCCTACTTTACCCACAACAACCACCCTGTGAGGTGGGTGAGGCTGAGAGGCAGACACTGGCCTACAGTCACCCACTTGGCTTTCATGCTTAAGGTGGGACTAGAACTCCATGTCTCCTGGTGATTGGTCCAAAGTCAATCCCACCAGCTGTCAGTCCTAAGGTGGGATTAGAACTCAGGGTCTTCTGGTGATTGGGCTCAGCTCCCCCAGCTTGCTTTCATACCTAAGGCAGAACTAGAACTCACCGTCTCCCAGGGATTGGCTTAAAGTCACCCAACCAGCTTTCTTACCCAAGGCAGAACTAGAATTCGCCGTTCCCTGGTTTCAATGCCTTAACCACTAGACCAAACTGCCTCTCTTTGCCCTTTGAACCTAGAAGTGTCCCCTAGAATTAGATATTTAAAATCATTTACATTACTACTAAAAAGGGATTTAGAATTTCCTTTGCTCGTGGATCCGTGGAAGAGAGATTCTAGTGGGGCTGAATTGGTCTAGTCCTGGGTGAGAAAAAGAGAAATCCAACATTTTTGTAAATGCAAGTGTTGGATTCTTAGATTTTTCATTGTTTCTCCCAGCTAAAAGCCGCCCCACTCAGAGGTCCCCGATGCCCAAAGGATTCCAGGCCGCCTGCCCTCATTTAGTGACAATTCCCAATTATGACGGTGAGGAAAAAGTAACTTTGCAACCAATCCTCAGCACCGATGACCTCCGAAGGTCTGTGAATAAAGCAAAGCAGAGCTTAAAGCCAGAGGGTGAGCGCACCGATGGACCGCTTTGCTTAATGACCGAGCAGCACCCCACTTTGGGTCACTAAACGAGGACCGCCTGAATTACGTCATTACAATGCGAACTCCGGCTTTTCCAACACAGAGGATGACAGGCCTGCCTAAAAGGAACAGAACTTGCATCACACCCAGCGCGATGCTAGTTGTCATCATTTCAATTAAAGCCTTTAATTTACTGGACATGTTTGGACTCTTTTAAGTTATTTCTGGATCCCATGATCTGCCGTGGAACGCTTGCAAAAGAAGGCATCGAGCGCTGCGAACTAGCAAAGCAGGTTTTCTTTTCTTTTTTTCCCTCTCTCTAAAAGGAAAGAAAATCCCCAATTAGCAAAATATGTAAGCCAGGCCCCTTTTCCTGTCCTCAGATAGACCAGTGGATTTATTTTAAGAAACCGGTCAGGTTTATCTGGCAAAACAGAGATCTGCCCTTCCAAGTAAGCAGGAAAATGGATTCCGTTTACGTTGGTGCCCCCATCTCTGCTTCAAATGACCACAGCCTCCAGAATCTCCTTGCAGGAAACCCCAAAAAAGGGGGATTTTGACCTCTCTTCTCCAAAGATCAGACCTGCCTTTTCACATTTTAATCTATGGAAGGCCGAAGCGCCATCAAAAATATTTTAATCCAAATTCATCGGAGACGAGAACACGGAGCAGTGCCGATTTAAAGTCAGATTTTAGAAATGGCGTTAGAAGAGTAAAATTGATAGGTCGACTTTTGCCGTACTGTATATCTCTTTTGGATTTATACCCTGATCTTTTCTTTTCTTTTTTCTCTTTTTTTGAGATATTCAAGGTGGCTAACAAACAAATCGCATTTTATACTTCAAGCGGCCCGGAGTGTTAGCAGTGCTGCGCAAAAGGTTTGCTTAAAAAGGAAGATCTCAACCTTTGGGTCCTGGGCGCTCTTTGAGCTTGGTAGTTTCCTTGGAGACGTTTCATGACCCAACTAGGTAACATCATCAATGCTAGAAGGGAGTGGGGTTTGATCTTTGTTTATAGACAAGTGGCTTGCCCTGTTAGTGTTGGTGGGAGTGTTGTTTTCTCCTAGATTGTTCATTGATTAGGCTATTGTTTTCTCATTGATTATATTTATCTGCTGGGAATCCCTGTTTATCCCTGATGCATTGTGCACTGATGATGTAACCTAGTTGGCTAATGAAAGGTCTGCCAGAAAACAAGCAAGTTCAGAAAGCACCAAGAACTCCACAGTTCGCCACCTCCTCCTCCCCTCCTCCTCCTCTGCTAAAGTCCTCCTTCCTTCTAGCACTGATGATGTTACCTAGTTGGGTGATGAAACGTCTGTAAGGAAACTACCAAGCTCTAAGAATACCAAGGACCCTGCAGATCTCTTCCTTCGCCTCCTCACTCCTCCTCCTCTCCTAAAGTCCTCCTTCCTTCTAGCACTGATGATGTTATCTAGTGGGGTGATGAAACATCTGTAAGGAAACTACCAAGCTCTAAGAATACCAAGGACCCTGCAGATTTCTTCCTCCCCCTCCCTCCTCCTCCTCCTCCTCCTCCTCGCAAACCCTACTACCTTCTAGCAGTGATAATGTTCCCTAGTTGGGTCATGAAACGTCTACAAGAAAACTGCCAAGCTCAAGAGAGTGCCAAGGACCCCACGGTCATTTTCCTCCTCCTCCTCCTCCTCCTCCTCCCCCTCCTCCTCCTCCTCGCAAACCCCACTCCCTTCTAGCAGTGATAATGTTCCCTAGTTGGGTCACGAAACGTCTGCCAGAAAACCACCCAGCTCAGAGAGCGCCAAGGACCCCACGTTCTAATACGGATCCTCCAATATCTCCTGCTGGAAGACTTCAACTTTTGGGGCATAGTAGGCCTAGCAGAGGCAAACATTGGCTAGTTTGGCCTTCAGCTTTGTTTGGGTATATGACGTGAACGAGTCCGGCTGGTTACAATGACATCATCCCAACCCGGGGTTTCGCTTGTGGGTCAATCGAGTCCTTCGGTTTAGGATGGGCAAACCCAGCTGACGGGGCCGGACGGAAACTCACAACTTGCCTGCTATTTAAAGAACGGTGCAATAATGCGCCAAATTGCCTCACTGCTTGCTCCGAGAAGCACTGGCTTGCGTCACGGAAGCTGACAGCTTGCTCTTCCTGAGAGGATGGGTTTTGTAATCCCATCCTTGCCCCGCATTCTTTCTCAATAGCTCACATTTCCCAATGGAAAGACTGGGCTTATTTTCACCCTCTTTCTTATTTTATATCGTACTAGCTGGATCCCCGTGTTTCGCTACGAAACTATGTGGTCGGGCTTAGTTTTGGGGGAGGGAAATAAGAGAGAAAAAAATCCTGCCTCTGCCTACCAGCATCCATCGGTATTCACCTGGCTAGCGTCCTGTCAGGGTGTGAGAGAGTTGAGGGCGGTTTGGAAACTGAAACAGTATTTGCTGTGTGAGCAAGGAGACAGCAAGGAGCCTGGGCGTGGCTTAGCTCAACTGTTCTGGACTAAAACTGCTGTGAAAGTAAAACTGAAACTCCTCTCCTCTGGTTGTGTTTTGCCTTTGGAAGAGATTTCTTTCCAGGTGGGGAGGGGGAGTAAGACTCCTTAGCATCAGAGCATGTTAATAATAATAATAATAATAATAATAATGGAAATATTCTAAATGCTCTGAGGCAGAGGTGGTATTCAGCAGGTTCTGAGCAGTTCTGGAGAATTGGTAGCAGAAATTTTGAGTAGTTTAGTAGTTTAGGGGGTGTGCATAAGCACACCAACGTGTCTATCGTCCCTGTCCTATTGTTTCTTTTTATTTTTCTTATATGCATCCATTTCATGTATTCATAACTATGTTTATACTTATACCAGTTATCTTATAATCGCTTGACAAAATAAATAGTTCGGAGAACCGGCCAATCCCACCTCTGACTGGCCCCGCCAACCCCATATCTCTTCTCTGCCTCCCATCGAGTCCCGGTTGATCGTCTGGGTCTCCTTTGGTTGCCCTGCACAGGAGAACGGAGCTGGAAAGCAGGTCAGTGGGGAGGGGGAGGGAAGGGGGATTTTGCAGTAACTTTCCCCTGCCACACCCGCCAAGCCACGCCCCCACAGAACCGGTAGTAAAAAATTTCAATCCCACCAGTGTTCTGAGGGTCGTTTTGAAAAATCCTTTCTTTGTGAGCATCTAGAAGCCAAGAGGAACGTAAGTGCCAAATTGCAAGTTTGTAGGCTTTACGGTTCTGGAGATTTTGTGATGATGCCTGAGGGGCACTTTGCTTTTATACATAGATAGATAGATAGATAGATAGATAGATAGATAGATAGATAGATA